TCTGATAGGGGCAGTGTGTAGGGACAGGCTAGCTCACCTCTTGTGCCCAGAGCATCTTGGAAGAAATTCATTCTCTTCTTCAGGTGGCAAAGGGGTCCAGGTGGCAACATCCACAGTGTCCATCCCAGGTTCCAAGGTCTCTTCAATGCTTGGTGGAAACCTACGCGTTCAAGAACAGTTGGAAAGGCTGTTGAGGAGCAGAGCACATTTTGCTCCAGCGCTGTTTGCCAGATTGCAGCATTCATGTAATCCACGTGCTTGTTCAGGACCATCGCACCTACCCAAACTTTAAACATTACTGGACCTGACCTCGCAGCGACCATGCCTCTTACCCATGCAGGGCTATTCCCGTGGTTCCTACACCAAACTTCGTCCCCTAACGTAAACTGTCTCTCTCACATAGCAGAGTCTTGTGTCCAGCATTAGCATTCCTGATGCTGTTTCACCCTCCCCCAAAAGGTCCAGGAAGATCAGATCTAACCTGGTACGGAATCTTTTCCCCATTATCAATTCTGTTGGGGCTATCTCTGCAGTTGCATGAGGGTTTCAAATAGGAACTGGGACTGTTTGACATTTAGAACATAGAACATAGAACAGTTGAGCACAGGACAGGCCATTTGACCCACAATGTTGTGCCAATCTATTATCCTACTAAGATCAAACTACCCTGCATACCCTACATTATACTATCATGTGCCTATTCAAGAGTCGCTTAAATGTCTCTAATGTATCTAAGTGAAGCTGTAGGCTGTATCTTTATGCCTGCCTTCAAAGTTTGGACTGCTTTTTCTGCCACACCATTGGATGATGGATGGTATGAGCTGTCCTTATGTGACAAATAGCATTCAACTTTAGCAAATACTCAAATTCCCTGCTGGTAAACAATGGCCTGTTATCAACACGCTTAGGAGTCCATGTATTGCAAAAGATGCTCGCAGTTTTTCTATTGTCTTTTCCGTGTTTGATGAATGAATTCTACGCACATCCAACTACTATGAGTGGGCATCCACAATGATTAAGAACATTGATCTCATGAAAGAACCTGCATTGTGGATGTGTACCCGAGGCCAGGGTTTACATAGTCATTCCCACAAATGTGGGGGAGCTATTGGTGGTAATGTTTCCCCTTGTTGGCACTCTGGGCAATGCTCACCAATGCTGCTATCTCTACATCCAATCCTGGCCACCAGACATAACTTTTTACCAACACCTTTATTTTGGAAAACCCTGGATGGCCCTAGTGGAGTTCAGCCAGTATTTGGTAGCAACCTTTGCTTGGGACAACCACTCTTGCTCCCCATAATAATATAGCATCCTCTACTGTGATCTGGAGTGTGTCCAGAAAATTTAAAACTATTACGGACTTTTCCAGTGGTGGTACTACTGGTGGTGTATCTGCCAGCAGGAGATGGCTTAATGCATCTGCATTTGCTACATTGCCTCCAAGTTGGTTTTCCAATTTTAATTATACGCACTTAGTATTAGAGCCCATCGCTGAATTCGACCTGATACTATGAGCGCACTGCCTTGTGCTCTTTAAGTAGACCTAATAGGGATTTGTGGTCCATTATTATTACAAATTTACATCCATAAAGGTATTGGTGGAATTCCTGACTCCAAATATGACTGCCAAACCTTTCTTCTCTATCTGGGCATATTTATGGTCTGCATTCGTCAAAGTTTCGGATGTGTACACTATTGGGCGTTCCTCTCCATTGGGCCACTATGAGCTAATAGTACCTCGATGCCAAATAGGAAAGCATCACATATCATTACCGGATCTTGTTTTACATCATAGTGTGCCAAAACTTTAGAGGCTGATAGCTGTTTCTTCACTTCCCTGACAGCTATGGCTTAGCTATGTGACTATTTCCAAGGCTGACACTTTTCTGAAGAGTTGATCCAAAGATGCCAAGGCGGAAGTCAGGTTATATATGAACTTTCTGTAATAACTCACCAGCCCAAGGAAAGACCCAAACTTCAGTTTAGACATGGGAGCTGGGGCACCTTTGACTGCCCTCATTTTATCTTCCAATGAGTGTAACCTGGTCTTGTTGACTCTGTAGCCGAAGTAGGTCACTTGGGGCGCCTGGAACTCATGTTTTTCCCTTCTAGAGCATTCACCCACCCAGGAGAAACATCTAAGGTCTATGTCCAGGTTCTCTAAGTGCTCCTTATTGGTCTTCCCTGTCATTAGCATATCATCTAGATAAATGGCGACCTGGGGTAAACCTTATAAAATCATCCACTGAAATATTGCACAGGCTGACAATACCCCAATGGCAGTCTAGTATATTGATACAAACCGTTATGGGTATTATTTGTAGCACACTTCTGAGAATCCTCATCTAACCGCAATCGCAAATACGCATGGCTCATGTCCAGCTTCATGAGGGACAGACCCCTGCCAGCTTTGCATATGTATCCTCTATGTGAAGGATTGGGTATTTATCAAGCTGCAAAAGTGCTTTATCATTTGTTTAAAATCCCCACAAAGGCAAACTGACGCATCAGGTTTCACAATCTTTGTCCCCTGAAGTAAACTTTCTCTCTCGCTTAGCGGAGTCTTCTGTTGGGCATTGACATTCCTGATATGGACTGGACTGGTTTGATGCTTGCTTCCCTTTCCAGCCTTCGGATTTCTGCTTCTACTTTTGCATGTAAGGCAAATGGCATGGGGCAGGCAATGCAGAACGGTGGAATTGCTTCCTGGGCAACATGCAAAGTGGCTTTGGCTCCTTTGATAGTCCCTAAACCTTCGTGAAATCTTTCTGGGTATTTAATTAGGACTTCATGTAGGCAACTATTTTCTAATCAAAAAATGTTGAGCCAATCAAGGTGAATCTTTCACAAGCAATTTCATCCCATCAAGCTTTGGCCCAGCCTTTTACTACAATCAGTGATAACTGCACCAGCTGCTTCCCATAAGAGACCAGAAGTGAAGTTGTCCCCTTGAATCTGTAAAGGTTTCTTGGTATAAGTTCTCAGTCTAGCTGCATTCCTGCGCAAACTTAAGGGTTCAAGTCCAGAGCGAATCTTGTTAAAGACTAGTTCTGTGCCAGTATCAACTTCCATTAGAACCTGGTGACCATTTAACCAGATGTTTATTTTGACCGGGTCTGGTCTGGATGTTACAAAGCAATTTAATTGTTCCAAGCCAGATGTAGTGGGCTTTCCTGAGTGTGCAGTTTCCTGGATACTAGCCTCTGAGTTCTCTTACTCAATTTTGGTCTAGTGGGACTCTTGCTGTCTCAAGTCCGCATACTGGCAGAGATTGCAATGGCTTCCCAGCCCAGATCCTGAAGAAAAATTTAACTGTTTGGCTGAGTCTCGGCTTTGTTTTAGGGTTTTACTGTGGGCTGACCTGGAGTCCCTCTGTTCAGGATATGCCCTGAGTCAGGCTATGCAATTGCCTTTACTCAAGTGGTGTTTCCCTTGCTCAGTCAGCCTGGCGAGGGTGTCCACGTCCATTGGAATACCCCACAACTCATATGCTACACTTGCCACATTTTCCAATAAAACCAGTTGCAGTACCTGTTTGAAGTCTAGTCAGGCTTCAACTAGTAAGCCCTTTTGCATAATTACATCATTAATCCCACTCTCATTGCCACTGAAATAACTCCACAGAGGCTGATAGCTTGTCACCAAGTCACCCTGTATTTACACGTCCTTGACACTGATCCAGCTTCCTCAGAGCCAGCTCTCAGAATGAACAGAACCTCTCACACTCCTGTTTATATCTGTCAGCCAGGGCTCCCTGATTGGACCAGGTTAACAGCCCCAATCAGGAAACTCATATTTTATGAGATCTACCTGGCTGAACTCATTATAATCACTACAGTGGTGTAATTGAAATAATCAATCATTTAAAACTATAAGTTTGATTGGAACTTTGGGGAAACAAACAGAAATGGTACATGTGGGTACAATTAAAATGCTTAAGAGACATTTGAATCAGTGTATAAATAGGAAAGGTTTGGAGGGATATGGACCAGGAATAGGCAAGTGAGACTAGCTTAGCTTGGGATTATGTCCAGCATGGACTGATTGGACCGGAGCGTCTGTTTCCATGCTGTCTGAACCTAAGATACATGGATATCAGGGGAATGGGACTGACTGGATTGTTACACAGAGAGCTATTAAGGACTCAATTAACACAATAGCTTCCTTCAGTATCAGAGATTATGCTACAATTCTATGAATAGTCAAGCTCAAAATGGAACTGGTCATAAACTTTGAAAGGAAAATAGAGAAAAATGAATTGGGCCTTGTAGTGATTGGAACGAGGTCAGCTAGCTGGATCTCATAGAATATGAGTTCCCTGATTGGGCTGTTAATCTGCTCCAATCAGGGAGCCCTGGCTGACAGATTTAAGCAGGAGTGTGAGAGGTTCTGCTCACTATAGGAGCTGGCTCTGTGCTATCTGGGTCAGTGTCATGTGCTATTCATATGTAAATAAATGGTGACTTGGTGATGGGATACCTGCCCTCTGTGATATTATTTCAGCCTTGATGCAAACAAGTCTTCAATGATTTGTCATTCACCCTATGACTTAAATGGCTTCACTTTGATATAAAGATAGGGTATTTTTACACTTCTCTTTGTTTCATTGTGGACTGAAGTGGGATAAAGGTCTGTTGAAAAAAAATTAAGGACTGTGGAAAGGATTACTGCATTTTTAAAAAGCAGTTTTCTGACACTCGTTGCTATTTGTTCAAGGAGTGAGGGAGTTTGAGTTGCAGGTGAACTGGAGCTGCTGATTGTGTACAAAATGAGATAGAACCAGCAACGAGGATCTCATTGAGATGGTAACCAATTGCCAATGACAATGGCCATCTGCCTCTCAATGTATACATGATTGGCTCCCAGGTTGTTGAACAGTTTGTGGGTGTGAATGTTTGACCGGATGCCATTGGACCTCCAGAATAGAAATGCAGTAAATTTCTCTGAAGTTGAAAAAAAAACACCAAAAGCCTGAAGAAAGCCAATTTATTTTCCGTTACCTTCTGCTGTAAGCTGTGGCTTTTAACCAATAAGTCAGAGACTTTATGAGTGTTAACCACTGCGTCTCAGGGGGAGGTGGTGGCATAGTTGCATTGTTATTGAATTCAATTAAGACTTTGGTATAAAAGGATTATGTAATGGCAGCCATGTAACCACTTTTGACTGTTGTAAGAGAAACCATCTGGTTTATTAATATTCCTTTGGGAAGCAAATTTGTCACACTCCCTGGTCTGGCCTACATGTAACTCCAGGCCCACAGCAAAATGGTTGAGTCTCAACTGCCCCCACTTCAGGATTGGTAACAAATGCTAGCCTTGCTAGCAATGCACACATCCCATGAACATTTTTTTTTTAAAAAGCTGACTTTCCAGTCTCCCCCTTTGACAAAACACTCTTGTGTGTCTGTCCCTATGATTATGTGGGGGCGAGTTTTGTCAAAGAGTTAGAGTTTTAACAGGCAGAGTTATATGCTGACTGTTCATAATTCTTCACTTGTAGCCAGCATTTATTTACTTGTAATAAGTAGTAATTCTTGTTAAGTAGAGAAACTTGGTCCATGCTTTCTGTTAACCTGGGTCTACAAGGCAGGTAAATTGAGAATTTTGCATACTTTCAGTTGAGGTAGCTCCTGATCAGAGTGGCATAAATTTGGCTGCAGTAACAGAATTAGCTTTCCTGCTCCAGCATTTAAGTGAGGTCATAAGTTCACACAATGATAGCTTTGAGAAGCAATTATCTCAAGGTGGCAGTGTCTACCTTGAACAAAGGATCTTGCAAATTAATATACAGGGAGTTCTACATCAACAGCAGCTGCAGGTCTGTAGGAGACAGTTTGATAAGAAATATCTAAGAACAGACAGCCTGAAATAGCAAGCATTAAAGGGAAAAGTAGGATCCCACAATAACAGACACAGATGTTAGGAAGGGGAGGTCGAACTCCTCTGATAATTAAAATCGAAACACATTCCCCAATCTGTTATGGCAGGAGTAGAGGTCCCCTTCTAATAATTAAACCCAAAACTCTCAGAGAAGCTCGCCTCATCTGGCCTAATCTATTAAACTGTTACAGAGACGGGGTGGTTAAATGAAAGAAAGTTCCTGATTGTCACTTTATAAGTAACAAGCAACAACTTATTTATTTAACCCCAACAGCGAACAAATTAACAGAACTACTAACAAACCGAACAATTCCCCTCTGACTCCTAGTTATTCCCTAACTGAAAAAAATTCTGCTGGTACGCTATTCCAATAAATACAAGTCCCATTTATATAATCCAAGCAGTAAGAAAAAAATGAATTAAAACTTAGTCGCTCAAAATTCACACAGAATATATCTTCTGGAATGCTTTGCCCTCTCTCCAGTCATTAACGCCTTTCTTTTGCTGTTCTCAAGTAATAAATGCCTTTCTCCTGCTGATTCTGCCGTCAGGGATGTTTTCCTTGTGAAGACTCTTAGCTAGAAGTGTCGTGGCATCTTTGATGGCTTTTTTAAGAGAGCTAAATGATTTTGTGTGAGAGCTAGGTTTATTTCTCAGATGGCGGTTCGCCCTCATCCCAACATTCAGAAAAAACCCTTATTATATATCTTGGATGACATCTCAATTTTCTTACAGTAGCATTGGTCTGAGGTTGTCAAAACCATCAGATTTAAATTCAATTGGCTTTCAATCGCTAAGTGCTTGGTTTAAATTAATTGGCTGATTCCAGCTGGTTGCCAAAACATCAAAACAAGCCTAAGGTTTCCAATCACACAGCCCATGGATACATGTTTCAATTTTTAGAACTGTCTGTAATCTGCAGCTGTTTACAGACCCGTTTTCTGTGTAAATCTCTAAGCTTAGAAAAGCACTCCATCTCTTCAAGGGACCACGCACTTCTTTTTACAAACAAATTCTAGCTTTCTGCCTTCCAATTCATGAGTATTCTACACAACTTTGTAACACAGATGATAAGGATGGGATTATGGTGTGTAAAAATCTAGGAGATCAGACAAGTTCATTGAGCTGCGCAAGCGATTGAGTTCTGGTGTTATCAATGAGAAAGATGATGCTTCATTAGGTAAAATGAGTTAGTCAGAGTAGGGGCAGTAATTTTTTTCCAAAAATACAGTGTGTGACTAGAATGAGTTACAATGCAGCTGCAAGATAGGGGGGAGTGTCTAACGGAGCCTCCAAGGTCGGTTGGGACTGAAACTGCTCATAACTCATTAGCTAAAGAATTCTAACAGTAGGTATAAGCATAAAACTTTACACATAACTAACTTTATAGTAGAACTAATATTATGAATCTTATTGCCATTAGTAAAAACTAACTTCCTCTTGTATCTCCTGTAGTTAGGACAGTGGGATAGAAAGATGAGTAACAGAATTTGATAGGGATAGCAATGAATAACATGAATAACAGGGATCGAGCAGCCCTTAGAGATAAGCAATTCTAGGAAATACCCAAAGGAATATAACCATTACCTTTGGAATGTGAATTAATGGGATGCATTGTAAGATCCCAAGGCCTGATGATTACAATGACTGGTAGACATCATGAAATAATGGGGAACCAAGTACTGTTCATAGGGGTGTCCATCTTTGATCAGGAGTTTTACAGGATTGGATGTGTAGATTAAGATGGAACAATGACAATGTTGCATGCAATTATAGTAACATGAAATGAATAAAAATGCTGTATCCCAGTGGGTAAATCAGAGTGTCATTGACCTCTCTTCCAAACTGAGCTATTAAGAGGGCGACTGGGGCCCACATAAAGATTCAGAATGGTCTCTTGCCTCTCCCGCACATGTGGTAAAGAGCTCGAATAAAGATTGATTCTGAACACAGAACTTGAGGCTGCTCTTTGAACTCTATGCCCAACAAGAATCTATCTCCCTCAGCCTTAAAAATATTCAATGACATTCCTCTGTCGTTCTCTGGGAAGAAAGTTCCACAGATCCACAAATCTCTGAGGGGAAGAAAATTCTTCTTCAATTGGAAAACCCCTTTTTTTAAAGTGTCTCCTAGTTGTAGAATCTCCCATTGGGGGAAGCACCCTTTCAGCAGTCACCCTTTCAAGTTCCCTCAGGGTGCTGCATGTTTCAGTAAGATCACCTCTACTTCTTCCAGACTGATTCCCGGGTTGGCAGGACTGACATATGAAGAAAGACTGGATCGACTGGGCTTGTACTCACTGGCATTTAGCAAAATGAGGGGAGAGTCTCATAGAAACACATAAAATCCTGATGGGACTGGACAGGCTAGATGCAGGAAGAATGTTCCCGATGTTGGGGAAATCCAGAACTAGGGGTCACAGTCTAAGAACAAGGGGTAAGCCATTCAGGACTGATATGAGGAAGAATTTGTTCACTCAGAAAGTTGTGAACCTGTGGAATTCTCTCACACAGAAAGCTATTGAGGCCACTATATCAGATATATTCAAGAGGGAGCTGGGCATGGCCCTTGTGGCTAAAGGGATCAAGGGGTATGGAGAGAAAGCGGGAGTGGGATACTGAAATTAAATGATCAGCAATGATCATGATGAATGGAGTAGGCTCAAAGGGCCGAATGGTCTATTCCTGCACCTATTTTCTGCGTATCTATGTTTCTAAACTCCAATGAATACAGTCCCATCTGTTTGTCCTTTACACATGGGATAACTCCCTTATCCAAGGAATCTACCAAGTGCATGTTCTCTGAACTGATTTTAGCACAATAAGGTATTTTCTTAAATAAAAAGGTCAATATTGTATTCGATACTTTAGATGGTATTTCATACAACTGTAGTGGAACATTCCTATTTTTATATTCCATTCCCCTTGGAATCATTTATAAGGTTGCATTTGCCTTCTGAATCTCTTGCGGTGACAACCGGTATACCATAAATCAGCTGAATATAAAGCAGAGGCTTTTTGACAGTAGCTTAATGGTGAACATCATAAAACTCATAACATAGCAAAAGAGAAAGTAGTAGTTGCAGCGAGCTGTGTGCCTCTTGGCAGACGGGTTGTCTGCAGCTCACACACTAATGTGGTATGCATCTGTCACTATTGGTGATTAAGTGTTTCTTACTGCTATTACAGAGTACAAGAGAATGACGTTGGAAATTAGAAACACTACAAATAGGCAAATGAACAGAGGCAGTGAAATACATAGACAGCTAGATGGACAAATATAGCAAAGTGAGAGACATAAACAGAAAGAAAGGTGGGGGTGAACAGTGGGAATGCAAATTAGCCAGAACTGCATTGGTTGTCACTTACAAGACACATGTTTCATTGTGGACATTACCTACCGCTATTTTAAAATAAGGATCCCACTATAAGCCAGAGAACACAGTCACCATCCAATCAGGGATGACAGGTTGACCATGAACACTGGAGGTCCAATGGCAGACCCTCCAAACCTCAGATTGACTGACCCACCAGCTGAGCTCTGTGATCAGTTGGTCTAAAGGCAGAGACAGGAAGGGAGAAGGTCAGAGCATGATCCTGGAGGGGTGTCTCTTCTCCCACCTACTTGCCCTGCTCTGCACTGTTCCTGTGGGCTGCCTACAATGCCAATTGGATATCCCTGTTGGTGTGGGAACCAGGTCTCAATTGGCCCCTGAAGCACATTGGTTTGCAGATGGCTGACTACCTGCAACTTGGCAACAGCCACCATCCAACCCTGACCTTCGACCCGGCCTCTTTGGAAATACCCGTGAACAGGATTGTAGTGCTACCACATTATGAGCCCAAACCACCTTCAAACTGGTCCCAACTTCAACTGAAAATTCAGCTCCAGATATTGCTATTGGAGTCAATGAGATCGAATATCGATTGGACAGAGTGTAGGTTGGATAACTGCCAACAGAGCCAATCATTTGCATCAAAGCAATAAAGGCTGGCCAAGGTGGACAGCAGCAGGCCCAGGCAGTGCCCACTGGCACAAGAGAGGCCTTTCAAGACCAATGGGCACTACAGAGGCTGCGGTGTATCATCACCCCGAATAGCAACATTTTGATAAGTCTTCATTCTAGTTCTGAATGTTTCTATTGACTATTTGATTTTGACTCTGTTATAGTGCCCCACCTGATTGATTTAATTTTTAAGAGAGTAGAATGGGGTAACTGATGCAATTCCATCTTTCCCAGCAACCCCAAGTTTTCCCCTCTGTACACAGAAGGGAGTAAAGCAGACATTTGTTAACCAGTGAGCAGTGTGAGTGATTCACCATTTTTACCAGTTAGGTTATTACAGGGACTGAAGATGGGAAAGAGTTTCTCGATGAATGTGTCAATGAAAGTGTACAGGTGAGACATGTTATCCGCATTGTAAAATGTCAGCTCTCCTCCCTCATAGTCCAGGTAAATGCCCAGCTTCCAAGGCTTCACTTTAACAGGAACGGTGGTACTTTCCACAGTTGATGCTCTGTAATCATTCTCATTAAACAAACTCACAACCCAGTATCCTTCTGTGGTTAAAGGTAGGAAGGCTCCCTTCCTCCTGGAAGACTCTCCACAGACACCTATAACCCACTGGACCTTGTTTCTGAGATCTACCTCCCAGTAGTGAATCCCTGACGTGAAACCCTGCGAGCTCAAAACATACAAGTATTCATCAAATCGTTCCGGTGGGTCAGGAAGATCTTCCTCTTCATCCTGCTCTTCATTGCTGTGCCCCACACTCCTCAGATCCTCGGAAATGACGAGTTGATTATTTGCCGTATTTGGGTCCAAGGTGAGAGACTCTGGAACTGGAAGAGAACCCAAATAGGAAGCTGTTACATAAGAGAAACATGACTGATTTAGGACACGCGTACAAGATGATGAGGGGTCCTCACCAGCTTCCTCGGCCCAGGAACCAGGGACCCTCAGGGACACGTATATGAAGAACTTCTTCACATTCCCTCAGCCCCATTTACGTGGTTCAGTTTATTTAAAATAGATATTTCATGACAGTTCAAATCCACATTGATTAGAATCAGTATGATCTCTGTCTTTCCAAACTCGGAGCCTAGTGTATTATATTCAAGCATTTTGACGAGTTCCAAGACTAACAGTTTTCCAAATTACGAGAACTTTCTGGTTTAAAAGGACAAGGCTGAAAGTAATGTTAATGGACTGAAAACGGCACCACCAATGGAGAACTACCAACTGAACATGGTTGGCAATTAGAAGATATGGTTGGGGAGATGAAACACGGACTGGGTGACCACCTGCCTGCCTTCTTACCATACAAATGACTCTGAGCTTCCAGTTGCCTGCCATTTCAACAGACCACCCTGTTCCCTGGCCAACATCTCTGTCTCAGTCTTGCTGCAGTGCTCCAGTGAAGTTCAGCGCAAGCTGGAATCACAGCGTCTCATTTTCTGCTTGGGGACACTACAGCCTGCTGGACTCGTTATTGATTCAATAATTTTAGGGCCTGAGCATCTTCTCCCATGTCTTTATCCCAACCCCCACATGCCAGGACTTGTCATCACATAGGCTACTACCATTGTTAGCCATTAATGGTCCTCATTGAGCACCTAGTGGTTCTCTCATTCCTTTGTCTGTCCTACCGTTTACTCCTCTCCCCTCCCTCCACCCCATCTTCAGCATAAATACCAACCTTTTCCTCGCTACAATCAGTTCTGAAGTAAGGCCACTGGACCTGAAACAACTCTGCTTTCCCTCCAGAGATGCTGAGTCTTTCCAACAATTTGTTTTTGTTTGACAAGGTATGGTTGAATGGGATTGAAGAGTCAGCAGCCCAATTTCCATCTATTAGCAATTGAGAGGCTGGAAAAGTGTCAACAATTCCACATGGAAACCATGGGGCCAAATAATCTCTCAGATCTATCACATTGCCGCCTTGCTTTCAAAGGATATTTTAGGATGCTCTGAGACCTGTTTAGCGAAAGGCAAGTGGCAATGCATTTGAACTGGACCTTCTCACTTGTATTGATTCATATTAAGGCTAACTAACAAGGCATTTCTTCTAATCATCAGCCATATTCAGTTCAAAGGTCCCTTGCCTTTGAGAAAGAATGTTTTATCCCTTCAATGTGGTAGTGTTTCGGCGCAGTGTGGTGGTCTCCCAGCCCGATATGGCGGTCTTTTGGCCGGGCATGGGCTCCACCAGGACTTCCAGCCTCAAGGTGATTCCAGAGCGATCTCCCAGCCTCGAGAGCCTTGAGGTGAAGCCTAGCACAGTCTGGAGTCAAGGCTTGGTGTGGATGGGAGGCTACGTGCCAGAATGAACTGGTTTGGAAGGACTGTTGTTCTGAACTGTTTATTTCTCTACTTTCTAATTTTTTCCTATGATCTGTAATGCTGGACTTTTTATTTCTTTATTTTTCCAATTGTTCTTTTCTTCCCTAAAAACTTATATTGAAGAATCTGTATCTAGGTACCATGTACCAAAGTAGGTGCCGCAAAAAGTGACTTGTAAATTTTTCACTGCACCCGTTTCAGTATATGTGACAATAAAGCTAATTCAATTCAATATGTGCATACACCATGAACATCCTCTCCTATGTACATTATATGCAAGATTTTAGCTGCCAAACCTGACTCAGCATTGCCACCACTGAGTTCAGAAGTCATGGGTGCAGGTCCCACTGTACAGACTTGTGCATTAAGTCTAATCTCAATTCTGCCAACAGGGCAAGACTGAGGAAGTGCTGCCCCATTACTGCTGCTGTTTTCCAAAACATTAACAGTGCTATATTTTCTGCCTTGCCCTTATGGTTTTTAATTTGGAAAAATGTGATTTTAGATGCTGGCTCCTCATCGGTAGCATAAAGCCTAGCTAAGTGCACAGAGATCCATTAGCCCCAGCAATGTGAGGAGGCAAATTCATGGGTCTTAAACTTCCTGTAGACTTCCCAAGGTTCTAACATAGGCACCAGTGCTACCCATACAGACAAGAAACATGGATAACAGGCCTAACAAACTAATTTTCTTCTCGTTGGCTGGGTTGAGAAATCAGGTAGATAGCACAGAGCCAAGAATATTTACTAAAATAAAACAAAGAGCTACAGGTGCTGGAGATCTGAAACAATCCTGTTCTACCAGACTGTATTCGCTGCTCACAATGCGGTCTCCCCTACTCTGGGGAGACAAAATGCAGACTGGGTGATGGTTTTGCATAACACCTACATTTTGTCTCTAAAAATGACCCCGAGTTTCTAGTTGCCCTGCTGCTTCAACAAATCACCGTGCTGCCTGGCCAACATTTCTGTCTCAGGCCTACTGCTGTGCTCAGTGAGGTTCAGCTCAAGTTGGAGGAACATCACCTCATCTTCCACCTGGGGACCCTGCAGCCTCCAGGATTCAAGATCGAGTTCAATAATTTTAGATCTTGAATACTTCCTTCTCTGTGCTTTGCCTATCCTGACACCCAGGTCCTGTAATCTGCACAACCAACCTATTTTTACCTATTTATTGTCCTATTGTCGACTATTTAGCCATTCTTCTTCCTTGGCTTACCATCAACAATCCCTTTCTCTGTCTACCCTTTAGTGTCTCTCTCTCTCTTTCTGTCTCTGTCTCCCTCTCCCTCTCCCTCTCCCTCTCCCTCTCCCTCTCCCTCTCTCTCTCTCTGGTCTACATGCCCAGCCATCCACTCACGGCACGGTGGCTCCGTGGTTAGCACTGCTGCCTCACAGCACCAGGGACCTGGGTTCGGTTCCAGCCTCGGGTGACTGTCTGTGTGGAATTTGCACGTTTTCCAGGTGTCTACATGGGTTTCCTCCGGGTGCTCCGGTTTCCTCCCACACTCCAAAGATGTGCAGGTTAGGTGGATTGGCCATGCTAAATTGCCTGTAGTGTTCAGGGATGTGTAGATTAGGTGGGTTATAGGGGGATGGGTCTGGGTGGGATGCTCTGAGGTTTGGTGTGGACTTGTTGGGCCGAAAGACCTATTTCCACACTGTAGGGATTCTATCTCCCCACTGCCACCCAGTGGTCATCAGCATAAATACCACTGTTTTCTTGCTTCTATCAGTTCTGAAGAAGTCACTAAACTCAAATTATTTTCTCTGCTTTCTCTCCACAATGCTGCAGACCTGCTAATTTTCTCCAGCAATTTCCAGCAATCGGGGGAATGATTACCAAGCGGTATTGTCACTAGACTATTAATCCAGAGACCCAGGTAATGTTCTGGGGGCATGGGTTCAAATCCTGCCATGACAGATGGTGGAAACTGAATTCAAAAAAATCAAAAATCTGGAATTAAGAGTCGAATGATGACACATTTCAATTGTTAGGGAGAAAAATCCATCTGGTTCTCTAATGTCATTTAGGGTAGGAAACTGCCTTCTTTACTTTGTCTGGCCTACACATGACCCACAACAATGTGGTTGACTCTTAACAATTAGGAATGGACAATAAATGACGGCCTGGCCAGTGATACCCACATTTAATGCTGTCATTGGCTAGACCAGCATTTATTACTCATCCCTAATTAGGAAGGAAACTTATAGTTTTTGCCAAGAATATTCACGGAGCAGCGTGAATAATTTATATTTGTTCATTCACGGGATGCAGGCATCTCTGGCTAGGTCAGCATTTATTGCCCATCCCTAATTGCCCAGGGGACAATTAAGGGTCAACCACATTGCTGGGGGCCTGGAGTCACATGTAGCCCAGCCCAGCCAATGTTAGGATGGCAGATTTCCTTCCCTAAAGAATATTAGTGAACCAGATGGGTTTTTAATGACAATCAAAATAGTTACATGGTCACCATTTTTATTTCAGTACTTAGATATTTATTATTTCACCAAATGAAGGCTTTTCCCACAAAATGTGAAAACAGTTGCTGCACGACGCAAAGTACGCGGAGCAGATTTTCAACTTGCCACATGTGGCATCAGATGGCGCCTCAGGCCAGCCACCCATCACAGAAACTGCCCGATCATCACTCCTGCTGAATTCAATGGAAGGGCGACTATTCAACCCCATTTCCCGCGAGCGGTTGAGCAAAGTGACGGGGATGCCGGAAGAGGTCACTCTGACTCTTACCTGGCTCGATTATTCTCCTCATTCCCTTCCAAACTCTGAAAAATTGGAAGGGCTCGCCGAAGATTTCCATGGTCATTTCAACATCCGTCTCTTCTGGCAGCTCGGCTCGGTCTTCATATCTGGGGAAAATAGTTTAATTTGCATGAGCAGCAACAGCAACAACAAAAGCAAAGGATAAGTGCACACAATAAGAAGGAACATACCTGGCGAGAAAGCCCTTAACATCCTAAATAAAGAGAAAAAAAACAGAACAGGAATGAATGTCAAAACAAGCTTAATTCCAAAACCAAGCAAGCTCTTTCTTTCGCTTTAGTTACTACCTTGAGAAACTCTGCAGCGTCAGTTACTTTTAGTTGTGTTTGTAACTCTGAGATGAGCTGCTCATTGGTCGAGACTCTATCGTTAAGCGCTCCAACGTACTCTTCCAATCTCTTTAACATATTGTCCGCCTCTTGTCTCAGTTCGATTCTCATGATCTCTTCTTGCTCATTCAAGAAGTTGTGCATCTTCTCAAACTCTTTTTGAATTGTGTCCATCAGCTGGTCTGATTGTACCTGTAGCAGAGAAAACACCAGGCCTAGTTAACATTCAGGAAGAATGCAGTGGAAAGGGTCCTCACCTTGTGATCGGGAATTCACTGTCTCCAGGTTAGTGGAAGCTGCTTAAACAGCAACTTTTCAATGTATATCGATTTATGGTTGACAAGGGAAAGGATTCCAGGACCATGGGAAAACAGCCGGGGAGTAGGCCTAACTATGTGGCTCTTTTAAAGAGCTGGCACAGACATTATGGTCTGAATGGTCTCTGCTGTACTGTTTGAGAGGATAAAAACAGGGTTGTGTAACACCCAGGTTTCAGGCTGGAATGTGCATACAGGAAGTATTTGCACATTTCCAGGAACAAGTTCAAGAATTTGATCAGCTGCGCAATATGTAGATAAGTGAATGCTGTCAGGGTCTCTAAGAAGGAACAATAAATATTGCCTTGCTAACTTTTCCCAGAGCCTATACATAGCCGTGTCTCAAAGTGTAAGGGATAAAAGTCCTTAAAAAAATCCTTAATATCAGTTCAGAGGCTTGGACACAGTCAAATGCTTGGGGCGGTCACAGTCCAGGGAATGGGCTCCAGACAGTCTTGTAGGACTACAGCATGGGGTCAGTGGTAAATTAGTAAATTAATTTAAAGAAAGATTCAAACGATCAAAGGTCTAAAATGTTACATCTGATTGCCTCTGCACAGATGCTACCAGACTTATTATTTTTAGCATTTTCTGTTTATGTTTCAGATTTTCAGCCAATATTTTATCTTTTCAAACCCTTTTACAGCATAGAACATAGAACAGTACAGCACAGTACAGGCCCTTCGGCCCACGATATTGTGCCAACCTATTATCCTACTAAGATCAAACTACCCTGCATAGCCTACATTATACTATCATCCACTGCAGCGGTTCAAGAAGGCAGCTCGCCACCACCTTCTCAAGGGATGGGCAAGAAATGCTGGCCAGCCAGCGACGCCCACATCCCACCCGTAAGGCAGAAATTCAAGGAGCTAGGGTGGAAGCTTAGAGCTAGAACAAACAGAGTTGTTATCTCTGGTTTGTTACCCGTGCCACATGCTAGCGAGGCGAGGAATAGGGAGAGAGGGCAGTTGAACACATGGCTACAGGGATGGTGCAGGAGGGAGGGATTCAGATACCTGGTTAATTGGGGCTCATTCTAGGGTAGGTGGGACCTCTACAAACGGGATGGTCTACACTTGAACCAGAGGGGTACCAATATCCTGGGGGGGAAATTTGCTAATGCTCTTCAGGAGGGTTTAAACTAATTCAACAGGGGGATGGGAACCTGAATTGTAGCTCCAGTGTACAGGAGGTTGAGAGTAGTGAGGTCATAAATAAGGTTTCAAGGTCGCAGGAGTGTACCGGCAGGCAGGAAGGTGGTTTGAAGTGTGTCTACTTCAATGCCAGGAGCATCTGGAATAAGGTGGGTGAACTTGCAGCATGGGTTGGTACCTGGAACTTCGATGTTGTGGCCATTTCGGAGACATGGATAGAGCAGGGACAGGAATGGTTGTTGCAGGTTCCAGAGTTTAGATGTTTCAGTAAGATCAGGGAAGGTGGTAAAAGAGGGGGAGGTGTGGCATTGTTAGTCAAGGACAGTATTACGGTAGCAGAAAGGACGTTTGATGACGACTCATCTACTGAGGTAGTATGGGCTGAGGTTAGAACCAGGAAAGGCGAGGTCACCCTGTTGGAGTTTTCTATAGGCCTCCGAAAAGTTCCAGAGATGACGAGGAAAAGATTGCAAAGATGATTCTGGATAGTAGCGAAAGTAACAGAGTAGTTGTTATGGGGGACTTTAACTTTCCAAATATTGACTGGAAACGCTATAGTTCAAGTACTTTAGATGGGTCAGTTTTTGTCCAATGTGTGCAGGAGGGTTTCCTGACACAGTATGTAGATAGGCCAACAAGAGGCGAGGCCACATTGGATTTGGTACTGGGTAATGAACCAGGCCAGGTGTTAGATTTGGAGGTAGGTGAGCACTTTGGTGATAGTGACCACAATTCGGTTACGTTTACTTTAGCGATGGAAAGGGATAGGTATATACCGCAGGGCAAGAGTTATAGCTGGGGGAAAGGCAATTATGAGGCGATTAGGCAAGATTTAGGGTGCACAGGAAGGAGAAGGAAACTGCAGGGGCTGGGCACAATTGAAATGTGGAGCTTGTTCAAGGAACAGCTACTGCGTGTCCTTGAGAAGTATGTACCTGTCAGGCAGGGAGGAAGTGGTCGAGCGAGGGAACCATGGTTTACTAAAGAAGTTGAATCTCTTGTCAAGAGGAAGAAGGAGGCTTATGTAGAGATGAGGCGTGAAGGCTCAGTTAGGGCGCTTGAGAGTTACAAGTTAGCCAGGAAGGGCCTAAAGAGAGAGCTAAGAAGAGCCAGGAGGGGATATGAGAAGTCTTTAGCAGGTAAGGTCAAGGAAAACCCTAAAGCTTTCTATAGGTATGTCAGGAATAAAAGAATGACTAGGGTAAGATTGGGGCCAGTCAAGGACAGTAGTGGGAAGTTGTGCGTGGAGTCCGAAGAGATAGGAGAGTGCTAAATGAATATTTTTCGTCAGTATTCACACAGGAAAAAGACAATGTAGTCGAGGAGAATACTGAGATACAGTCTATTAGACTAGATGGGATTGAGGTTCATAAGGAGCAGGTGTTAGCAATTCTGGAAGGTGTGAAAATAGATAAGTCCCCTGGGCCGGATGGGATTTATCCTAGGATTCTCTGGGAAGCTAGAGAGGAGATTGCAGAGCCTTTGGCTTTGATCTTTATGTCGTCATTGTCTTCAGGAATAGTGCCAGAAGACTGGAGACTAGCAAATGTTGTCCCCTTGTTCAAGAAGGGGAGTAGAGACAACCCTGGTAATTATAGACCAGTGAGCCTTACTTCGGTTGTGGGTAAAGTGTTGGAAAGGATTATAAGAGATAGGATTTATAATCATCTAGAAAGGAATAATTTGATTAGGGATAGTCAACACGGTTTTGTGAAGGGTAGGTCGTGCTTCACAAACCTTATTGAGTTCTTTGAGAAGGTGACCAAACAGGTGGATGAGGGTAAAGCGGTTGATGTGGTGTATACGGATTTCAGTAAAGTGTTTGATAAGGTTCCCCATGGTAGGCTATTGCAGAAAATACGGAGGCATGGGATTGAGGGTGATTTAGCGGTTTGGATCAGAAATTGGCTAGCTGTAAGAAGACAGAGGGTGGTGGTTGATGGGAAATGTTCATCCTGGAGTTCAGTTACTAGTGGTGTACCTCAAGGATCTGTTTTGGGGCCACTGCTGCTTGTCATTTTTATAAATGACCTGGATGAGGGCGTAGAAGGATGGGTTAGTAAATTTGCGGATGACACCAAAGTCGGTGGAGTTGTGGATAGTGCGGAAGGATGTTGCAGGTTACCGAGGGACATAGATAAGCTGCAGAGCTGGGCTGAGAGGTGGCAAACGGAGTTTAATGCGGAAAAGTATGAGGTGATTCACTTTGGAAGGAGTAACAGGAATACAGAGTACTGGGCTAATGGTAAGATTCTTGGTAGTGTGGATGAGCAGAGAGATCTCGGTGTCCATGTGCATAGATCACTGAAAGTTGCCACCCAGGTTGATAGCGTTGTTAAGAAGGCGTACAGTATGTTAGGTTTTATTGGTAGAGGGATTGAGTTTCGGAGCCATGAGGTCATGTTGCAGCTGTACAAAACTCTGGTGCGGCCGCACTTGGAGTATTGCGTACAGTTCTGGTCACCGCATTATAGGAAGGATGTGGAATCATTGGAAAGGGTGCAGAGGAGATTTACCAGGATGTTGCCTGGTATGCAGGGAAGGTCTTATGAGGAAAGGCTGAGGGTCTTGAGGCTGTTTTCGTTAGAGAGAAGGTTAAGAGGTGACTTGATAGAGACATACAAGATGATCAGAGGATTAGATAGGGTGGACAGTGGGAGCCTTTTTCCTCGGATGGTGATGGCTAGCACGAGGGGACATAGCTTTAAATTGAGGGGTGATAGATATAGGACAGATGTTCTTTACTCAGAGAGTAGTAAGGGCGTGGAATGCCCTGCCTGCAAAAGTAGTAGACTCGCCAACTTTAAGGGCATTTAAATGGTCATTGGATAAACATATGGATGATAATGGAATAGTTTAGGTTAGATGGGCTTCAGATTGGTTTCACAGGTCGGTGCAACATCGAGGGCCGAAGGGCCTGTACTGCGCTGCAATGTTCTATGTTCTATGTTCTATGAATAGAAAACAAATCCACGTGCCTATACAAGAGTCACTTAAACGTTTCTAATGTATCTGACTCCACTACCACTGCTGGTAGTGCATTCTACGCACCCACCACTCTCTGTGTAAAGAACCTACCTCTGACATCTCCCCTATACCTTCCTCCAATCACCTTAAAATTATGCCCCTCTCGTAATCGTCATTTCCGTCCTGGGAAAAAGTCTCTGGGTATCTACTCCATGTATGCCTCTCATCATCTTGTACACCTCTATCAAATCACCTCTCATTCTTTTTCGCTCCAATGAAAAAAGCTCCAGCTGCCTCAACCTTTCCACATAAGACCTGCCCTCCAGTCCAGGCAGCATCCTGGTAAATCTCCTCTGCACCTTGTCTAAAGCTTCTACATCTTTCCTGTAATGAGGTGACCAGAACTTAACACAATATTGGAACAGGTGAACCTATACTGGGAAACAGGAGTCGTTCAAGGAGGGGAATGACCAGAAGGTTGACTGGAGTAGGGATGGGAGAGGTAGAACAGAAGTGGAGCCCTCATGACAAAGAGGATTGGAGCCTGCGAAGGTGCCTGGTCCTGAATGGAGGGGGTAGGAGAGGAAATAATGCCATTGCTCATGCAGTGGAGAGAATTGTAGCCTTCCTGGATAGGGATCGGGAATAATCAGAGTCTAAAACTAGAACAGAAATTGTCTCACTGGGGCATGGTGGGTTGGGGGTGTGGAGGGAGGTGGGGAAGAGGTCAGGATCTGGTGGGTGTAGGAGTTATGGGGGCCTGATGAGAGAGGGAAGTCAGGAACTGGTGGGGAGAACTACTGGAGAAGCTTCTGGCTATGGAATTTCCTCAGGCAGGTATCTGGAAGCACTTAAATGCCTGAATCAATCACCTTGTCTTGACAAAGCTGCTACGGTTCCCAAATCTAGGCTGGTTTGGTCAGTAGAAGCAAAAGCCCAAAAACAGAAATACCCATCCTCATTACCATATTTCGAATTTCAAACTGTTTTTCTGAATCAAGTTGGTTACCCAACTAACTTTCAATTTCAGTTAAAGCTGAAAGTGGACAGGTTGGGGGTAGATTTAAGTCAAAAATGTTTTCTGAAATGTGACACCCCCACCCCCCAACTCAACCAAACCTGCCTGTTTGCTTTCAATGTCCTGGATTACATGTCCAAGTAGATTCAATATCCCAAGCATAACTAGAGATGGACAAAAATTTCCCAGTCTTGCCATATTTCAAGAATGACTTTTTAAAAAGTTAACAGTGGAATTATTCTATTTTTACCTTTAGTTGTTCCATTTTTGCCTCTTGTCTCTCTTTATTTTCAGTTACGTTCTTAACTTCACAATCCAACCAATCCAAATATGTTTGGAGTTCTTCCTGAAACATTTAATACCTTTTAGTAATATGAATGAATGAGAGTTCCAGTGAAACTGCGTGTAATTCATGAAATAAACAGACTTCGTCACATAAGTCAATGGTGTCTCTGAAATGCCTTTGAGTTGGGGTCTAAACTTTGTTCAGGAAGCATTGATGCCTCTTAGACTATTTCAGCAACACAATAAACATATATATGGCCACAGACACTGGGGTACCTCATAAATATAACCAGATACAAGGACACTTTACACACGAGTGTTATCTCATATGCATAGCGAGGCACAGAAACACTCGATTTACATAGGTGGAGTCTAGACAGTAGAATGCCCAATATGTACGGCTGGACATTAGAAAACCAAATGCATATATTTAGATGCTGGAATATGGCTACAGAAAGAAAACAATCCATGTCTAGCTCGAATCTGAAATACTCTGTATACAAAGCTAGACACCCGAATATTCCACATACAGTACGTAGCTAATCACTGGTGTACTCTATTTGTGTGGCTAAAGCTGGGAGTACCTCAGATGTAAGGCTCAACGCTGGTAAATCCCTTGTACAAGGCTAAACACTTGGATGGCCTATAAAAATGCTGATACTGGGTTCTCCTTAATATATCACTCAACACTGAGTTACCCAAATGCAAACATAGATATTGAAATAACTCACATCCATGGCTAAACAATTTATATATAAATAGAAATGACTATAATCAATGAGATAATTGCTGATCTTGATACTTACCTTTATGCCTTAACCTGTAATACATTTGGTGAATGAGAATCTATAAATCACAGTTTTAACTTTAACACTTGATAGAGCATCAATTTTCATTTGCAAAACGCAGGACCTAAACTTCTACTGCCCTTTCTGTTCCTATTTTCACTTCTGAAAGGTCTGTTGTAACGTTTAGACAATGGCCTCTAAACCCAGTCTGTACAAGAAACAAAAGTATCTTGAAATCTACTCCTTTCAATAACTTGGAAACTCCAATCCTTCTCACCTCTCCTTCTTTCTCCTCAACTATCTCTCCCCTACACTTCGCATCTATTGTTTTTCCTCTTTTACCCTTCACTTTCCTCGTTATATTTCTTCCCTTCTCCCTACTTCAGCTGTAACTCCTCTTCTGTCCCCCTTTCCCATCAATTCAGTGAACAAACTCTCCCATTTAAACCACACACCCCACCCCCCTCCCCAACCCTGTCTTCCCCATCATGATCCCAATGTCAGTTGAACAGTGACTGTCTACCTTGTTTCTCTGGGCAGCTTCTTTTAAAATAGTCACATCATGCATTTTATGGTCTGAATTCCAGCAGTCCACACAGATCATTTCCTTCTCCACTTCACAGAACAGTTTCAGCTTCTCCTCATGTTCCTTACAGTAAGCCCCTTCCTCTTGCTCTGTAACCTTTGCCTTCAGCTCTCTGAACTTCTCCACAATGCTGGCCAGGGTCCGGGCTGGCCTGATGTTCCTCTGACTGAAGACCTGCCGACACTCAGGGCAGGAAACATCTCCTATTACCTTCTCCCAGCTCTGGGAGATGCACGACCTACAGTAATGATGCTCACATTCCAGAAATACTGGGTCGGTGAACATCTCCAGGCAGATGGAGCAGGTCAGTTCATTGGTGAGATCGCACATCTCTTTTCTGGTTGCCATTTTACAGCTTGTTCTTCATCTGCCTTTTCTGAACTTTCAGTTCTGAATCATAAACACAGTCACACCCCTTTCTTAAACACCACATGATTCAAGATCGAGAACACATTAATGTTTCTCCTCTGAATCACCAACATTGAACTATTTGGCAATGTGTCAAGTTTAGATGGGAAGTATAACCCAAAACGTGTTTTACTAAATGCACATTGGGATAATTATGGAAATATATTTGAAACAATAAGTGAGTTAATAGAAATTGTTACCTCTTCACCATCTTCCAAAGGCTTCTCAAAACTTACCTATTTTACCATAGTTACCGGCATCTGTCCTAATACCTCTTTTTTGGCTCCATGTCAAATTTTGTTTGAAATCTCCATTGTGAGAAATCTTGGACATTTTAATAAGTTAAAGCTGTTGTTGTTCTTTGAGACTGTCCAAGAGAAACAGGCATGGATTCAAGTGGAAATTTGTTCAACTCCTTCTGCCATTTAATCACTTCTGCCCTTCACTCCATCTCGCTTTTAAATGTTTTTATTGGCTCCATATAGATATTTCCAATCAACCTGTTCAAATCAAACTGATTTCTTACAATTCTGTTTTGTTAAGTGGCAAAATTGGAGATGCAGCGTCTGGAAGGTCTTCTGAGTTTGAGTTTGGAGTAAGGGTGGCATGGTGGCTCAGTGGTTAGCACTGCTGCCTCACGATGCCAGGAACCCAGGTTCGATTCCACCCTTGGGTGACTGTATGGAGTTTACACATTCTCCCCGTGTCGGTTTCCTCCAAAGATGTGCAGGCTAGGTAGATTGCCCATAGTGTTCAGGGATGTGTAGATTAGGTAGGTCATAGGGGGATGCATCTAGGTGGGATGCTCTGAGGGTCGGGTTGGACTTGTTGGATCAAGGGGCCTGTTTCCGCACTGTAGGGATTCTATTCTATCATAATGTACAAACAATGCCAAGTGTCAATTCCACAGAAGAGCTGCAGATAGATATGTCCATTCAAGAAAATGCTCTTTACAGAATGATTCAATTAGGAACTATATTAAGTTTGAGAAAGAATTTGTCAAAGTCTCCTGACCCTTGGCAGCTATCTTAGCAACCTTGTTAGTATCCATTTTAAAGACTATAATGCAGTTCTAGAAACTCCCATGCCAATCAGTCCGTACTTGAAGTTCTTTTAAATTTGTTCATGGATTGGAGTTTCTGGCTGGGCCAACATCTATTACCCATCCCTAATTGCTGAGAGGGCAGTTAAGAGTCAACGACATTGTTGTTGTTCTGGAGCACATGTAGGCCAACGGACATTCTTCTCTGAAAGACATCAGTCAACCAGATGGATTTCTATGACAATCATTAGGCAAGTATCTTATTCCAAATTTGTACAAAATCCAAATTTCACCATCTGCCATGGTGGATTTGAATGCATGTTCGGAATGCTTGGCTGAGGTTTTGGATTGCTAGCCTAGTGGCATTAAAGGTAAGGTAAGCCATAGTCTTACCAGACCATAGGACTGCTCTCCCATCAGAGAGATGACCGGCATTGGCTTAACCTGAGGGTCACCACACCTCAGGCAAGGGGAAAAGGTCGGCGGTTGGGAGCGCTACTGCAGCGCCTTTGGAGGTCGGGAGCGGTACTGCAGGCGCCGTTGGCGGTCGGGAGCGGTACTGCAGCGCCTTTGGCGCTTGGGAGCGGTACTGCAGGCGCCGTTGGCGGTTGGGGTCTTATTGGGGGGGGGGGGG